TCACCAGCAACCTTGGGAACATAGGTACTGACCCTGTTCCTCTGCCTTGTGGATAGGACTCCAAGTCAATGGCTCCCGACTTAGTGCCTTAAGAAAAGCACCATTTGTATCAGGACGTCCAGGCAGTATCCCATTCCAATACTAACAATAAGACAACAAATAATCAGGAAAATTTATCACACGCTCATTCTAACGCTCACGAAAAATGATGTTATTTTTGACAACGCGTTATCTTTTAACCCTATTTTATATGATATTTTTACTTTTCCTAGGCTCTCTAATTTCTTCAGCCTCTATTCCTTGTCTGAATTATTCGGATGCCTGTGCTGTCTCATATTGTCATCATGTAGCCTTTAAAATATTGGACCTCAATGCGGTATCAGTCAGGGATCTCCAGAAACGGCGTGATGCGTTCGGGCTTGCCAACTGTAATGTTCTGGCACTGAAGCAAGTCAGAAAATAAGCGGTTGTGGCAAGAAAATTTGTACAGCTTTTAACAAAATTAGATTAATAATAGTGTGTTTGAGGTCAAATTTCGATCATAGTTCATGCGGTTGTTTTATTATATTTTGATGTCTATTCATGACTCACATGATGGAACAAGGTTGATGAAAACACAATATTCAACGAAGAAACTATTTTGAACAAATTTATTTACAGCCTATATATACATATATATGGTTTTCTATTATTAGGCAATTAAATCCCAATGTCACATTAAGGTACTCTTGAATCTACCGTCAAATGCATATCGCACAGAAATACTCCCTCCACAAACAGCACGCACAGAACTGCATGTGAGTAGACACCAATCCTCCTACGAAAGCAGAAATTCTGAATGCAATCAAGCTACTTAAAGACAGACGGAACTGAAAAAAGACAGAAAAAATTATCCCAAAGCACTGAGAACCAAACAACACACTGTGGGACATGAGCTCACGCCATGAATGTCTACTGATCGGTAGAGTGGCTAACTTCCAAAAGTAATCCGGAATAGTGAAAAACGCCAATGAAACACTTGCGTGGAATTGTGCTGCTGTACACCCACACCGAGTAAAATGTTAAGTCGCATCACCGTGGAGAGAATGAAAGATGCACTGGATGCAGGGCTCCGGCAACTGATTCAGCAAAGAAAAAGCATGTGCTGATCAAATGGCACATCCTCATCTACACATTGTCATCGAACAAAGCATGGAATGGCAGTCGAAACTGTATCTTAACTCCATGGCCTTCGACAATACCTTCGACAGAGCAACGTTAATAGAGAAGTAATTCGGAAACCACTTCAACACTACAGTGTGCAGAGCCCAAGTCCGCTTTTATAATAAGGACGAAAATCACTTTATTCCAAACAATAATAATCATTATGCAGAATGGAATTCTCTGCGCTTTTTACGCCCATTGCAACAGTTCATCTCCTTTTATAAAGATGTACTTACCTAATATGTAAAACAGCAATAATAATAATAACAGTAATTACTATTATTATTTTTATGAAACCATTAAAAACGAGATGTCGATGGAAATGTAATGAAGTCTAGGTAGATAGTTTCACTGATAATACACGTAATAATAATCTTTGTTTATACTTCACAGTTCACCCACTGATTTAGAAAGTGTATAAATTCTTTTCTGACATCTGACTCTCACTTCACACAAAACCCGTGCTAAGTATGGTATCGTAGAATTTTTATGTTTATAAGCACGAGCGTAAATTCATTTGAAGTCTGTTCTGGTTTTACCGACGAGATATAAGGAGAAAGTTAAGAAAAAAGAGGTTGTTCGGTGGTACCAGGCAAGATAACTTTAGACAAATGCTTGCAAGAATTGAAGCGTCTACTGACAGTAATGTAATCTAGCTGAGTCGAAATCACACCATCAGCCAACCCTACCTACAGTCTGCAGTGTTCTACTTAATATGAGAAAGCGAAGACAGGATTTCAGGTGGGCACAGATAAGACGGAGGTGATGAAGATGCTCGTCGACCAACAACACCAACAACAACTTGCATCAATCATCATCAATAGGAGGAGAGATTTTTCAGAGGTTACTTCTTTTACTCATTTGACTAGGAACTGTCGATTCATTGAACGACAAGCGACATCGCGGATGAAGATGTAAGAGCTGGCAAGAATGGGGAAGACGAGAAATGCCTTCATCAACCTGAAACCAGTTCGGAAATATTCTGTAATCAGCCATGGTATAATTCAAAGAATACTCTGTGCTTCTCTACTGTTAGTCAGCTGACAAACGCAGTGAAATACAACAATCACTTGACGTTTGTGGACACAGCAACGCAAACAAAATTACACAACTGAGATAAAACAAATATTAAATTGATTCAGGCATTGCCAGTTATTTTCATCGAAGCTACACTCACGATTTCCCGCTTCGTCAGATAAAGAAGCAAATGGCAATAATACATCTTAGTCGTCAAACCAGACATAATCATTGAGGAAAGTAGTCGTTCAAATCCAGTGGTAAGAGTAACAGTCTCTGAAAAGAATGACACCGTAATGACTTCTAAGAACAGATCACTCTGACGGTTCAGATAAGATTTCGACGGTCAATTCCACTGACCTACAAACACAACAAATTTTCTCAGGACACAAAGTCAACCTGGGTGGAATGTAGACATGGTATTCAAAATTCAATTGAGTTTCCAAAAGTTGGCACTATCTCAAAGAGGACTACGCCGGTATGGCCTAATTCGATTAATCCAGATGAAGTTAGTTTCGTTGGTGCCAAACTACTGACTGAGCTACCTGAGAAATTAGTAATTTTGTGTCAGTGTTAGACATTCCAGCCGAACTGGTGTGAGTCAGTTATTACACTGATCTGTGAGTAATCCGGTGACAAATGTGTTAGAATTAGTTTGACTAGAATGTCATTTGAAATTGTAGGTTAAATAAACATACAGGGACTGAGAGGTGATGTAGAGGATCAAAACCTGAGAAGGCACTACGACATTAGATTGGAGAGAGAGTGAAGTGATCACATTTCGACGCCTCGACAGATTCTCTAATATAGTAATAACAACTGGAGTCAAATGCTTCTCATAATTAGATTTAGCTGTGCTGTTCAAGCTGGTGGATGGAAATGCGAAACTTCAGTTGTTTCTATTCTCGACAACATCTGCAGCGCACGTCCCAGTATAGAATGAACTTGTTCACAGTCATAGCAAACACCTTTGTAAGCCTTCAATTGTAATCAAACGAGGAAATGCAATCATTGAAATAACATTATTTCAAACACCTTATTTCAAATACATGTACTCGCTATATTTCGGTGAGATTTTCAGTGTTTGTGGATGTTCGTGTGTGGCATGTTTGTACATTTAACAGATTGTATATGATGGATTGCGTGGAATAAATGCATTAGACTCATGAAGTGACGAATTATTGCTTCACAGGAGTTACCCGTACTTGTAGGAAAATGATGGAGACCGAGTCGTGAGTGATAATGAGATGCACTCTGTTGGTGTCCTGCAAGATTTCTTAATTGTTGTCCACAACATCTTGTGATGGAAGTGATGCAGAGTCATTTTCACTAGACTAAACGTGAGCAGAATGAATACTCTCATTTTTGCACATTCACATTTAATTTAGACTACGCGAAATCTGATGGAACCAATCATGACGATTGTGGGCATCTTTCTGTTCGTTCGTCACCTAACAGGAGTAACCAAATCCATAAAGTCAACGTCATTCCACCTGATGAATTTGACTACATTGATAAATATCATTTAAACGCCTTCCCTTTAATGCTTCACATTCCCGAATCTCACACTTACTTCATCAGAATGGCGTAATCTTTCCAATGCCAGGAATATCTAGTGACAACATGATTTGGATTCTCACAGACTCCATATCATTGTTCTGATATCTGCACATCATATGTCCACTTCATGCTCATTATTTGTCATTCACCCCATCAGATCTCTAATTTCAGTGCTTCTCTCTCTGGCTTTACGATACACAGATATTGCGATGTCTTACTATTTGATATAGTTTGAGTGAATCAAGAGAGCTGTGACCTTCTACTGTCTCCACGAATTGCTTGTGTGTTATCCTTACGAGTAGAGTTTTGATCACACCTTCTTGTGAATATTCTACTGCATTCTTAGTTCCTCCTTGCGGTGGAATTTCGGATCACTTATTTTCTCTATGGTAGATGTTCTGAATTGCGGATATCTCTTCTCTATATATAGTTGAAACTGCTAGAAAATAGTATACGATGAACGGTTACTTGTGTTCACATCACAACTATTCGGCTGATTTCGTTACATACTGGTTTCCGAGGCGAATTCTACACACTTCATCATATTTAGATAACATTCTGTGTTTTCTAATTCAGTTCTGTCTAAATAGTATCAGTGATGAGTAGTTATTGTACTCATCATCACCTTGCTAGTTACTGGAATCATCACCTAACATCTGGCCACTTATTCGATTTCAAATGGAAACGTGTTTTACCTGCACTCGGTACACTTTGTACATGTTAACCGCAATCACCTCCTCCAAATGAGTGGCTTCAACTGCATTCGATTTGAAGTCGGTGAAGTGCATATGGCTTCACGCTTCTGTTTGCCACTAAAACAGTAGATCTAATTGCGCCTACCACATGGTTCATGTGTGTGAATATGACAAAGCACGATTTGTGCCATTATAACTCTCTCTCTGTCCTCTCTGAATTATCTCATGCACATTTAACTGGATGGAATCAGTCTCCTAACAGCGCCCTGATGACCGATCTGACATTACTACATATTCGAAGACGACAGTCGACTGCAAGTAACTCATCGTTGATTCCAAAAATTAGGCACACTACACCACAGTCGGCAGTTCAATAAAGCTTGAATTCATAATGAGAAAGCGGTGTAGCAGATTAATGATTTGTTTAATTTAATTAAAAAAGAAATGTTTACGAAAGCTTCTACAGTCCACTTGTATTCATCAGTAGTATGTCGACGTTGACGTTTGTCTAGATGCGCCTCTTCACTATCCTGCATGAGATTAAATTCAAATCATCGGTTTAGTTGGATGAAATGTTAGTGGTTAAACAGTAGAGCAACATGTATACTGGAGAGAAGAATACTTGGTGGCGAATTGTATGCTTACTCATGGAGTATGCGAATTCTGAATATTTTCAGTGAGTGATAATTTCAATCTTCATTGTTTGTCGGAGCATACGAGTTGCTACATTTCTATCACTCACTATCGTTCGTGTGAATTTCACTAGTTTGCATATCCTCGCTGACATTATTGAATGTGCACGTATATTCTCATACATTCATGACACCATCTTATTAGAACTCTCATGATATTATTCATTGGTGGATTTACACACGGTAACTGACAACGCCACTCATGATGCTTTCACCATTTGACTAAATGGGCGTATTCGAGGCTGTAATTTCAACCACATATTCATAAATCAATATTCGAGTCGAGTGATAGGAGTCTAGTCGACGGTGGAATATATTGTCTAACTGTTTTTGTGAGTATACTAATCCTGTGTAGTACTTTCCTCACTCATCATCCTCCACACTCTCACAATTCGTGCACTTGAAACTCGATTCGCAACTCCACTAGGTGATCTTCGTAAGATAAAATGTGGAAAGATAATGGGAAATTAATCTCACCTCTGGTGATATGTGTTGTGTACAGATTCTGAAGAACTAGAAACGATGAAACATTTTGGGAATTATTTGAATGGTCTAATTAAAATAATTGTTGCATATAACTGAGTTTGTCTGCTAACTAACAGTAGAGAAGCACCGACTACTCTCTCATTCCTACCACTGCCATCACAGTGTTTCCTCATACATATTTCCGATTGTGCAGTTTATAAATGCAGAGAAAATAAACTCACAAGTGTTAATCATATACAGAGCTTTTTGTTCGAATACTGCTTGCATTTCTAAATTCAGTTCACCCAGATCTGAAATAATTCATAAATGGATACCTAACAGAATACATTTCCCAAGGTGATTCATTGACATTCAAACTCAAACTACGCGGCATTACATGACGCAAAACAAACTGATCGGCACAGAGATTCAATCAGTTGACTACTCCACAAACTCATCTACTTGCATGATGTCTTCTCACGTTGTCCAAACTGCTGTCATCAAGTCACTATGTCAGTACTCATTCAATTTCACAGTTAACAAATTGTCTTCTAGTGTGTGCTTCTATTCGCAATCACACCATCTGCACAATTCCATTTGTAGACGACTGACAACATTCTAAACACTGGACTTGTTCGTCCTCCTTCAGACATAAATTTTTAACTCTTTGAAAATGCTCATCACAGAATACCGTATAAGAAGTGGACGTTCATGAAATCAAATCATGATGAAGGTATTGTGATAGATGAAAATATACCATCATCGTAAATGTATGTGAAAACGTTATTCATTTCAAAATGAATGAAAATGAAAGGCAAATAAATACCTTGAGGACTCTCTGAAGGTAGGTTTCCGAAACAGTTCTTCAAAGGGAATTCCTTCACTTTTTCTATTAATGGGTGAGTAAGAGTAGGGAAACAGTTTGATTATTAAGCTGAATTTACATCAGATATGTGGAAACTGGAAACTCGAAAATCCGTACTCCACACAGAAAAAACAATTCAGACGGATTGGTGTAATAAAATGCTCCTTACCACGATATGCAGAGGCCTCTTCTTTGCAACAATTCACTACATCAGCTAGATTCACATCACGGTCTGCAAATAAATGAGTTTCGCACACATTAATGCATGTCTATCGTTTTTAGTATAAAGCTTATTCACATTTATGCATGTCTAACGCAAACATAATCACAATTCAGACGAAAAATTATGCCTACTGATTTACATATTGTAAATGTGTATCCGAAATGAGATATAGGTAGTTGAACATCTGTCGTCAATCAGTTCCTCATGTTCTGTGCAGGAGGAAATTCCCCCTATTTATTTGACATTAGCAAATAAAAAGGCATGTATGAAATACTAGTTGACACGTTACCTCGAGAATATACACAAGGTCAATTTTTTTAGCCAGAACATTGATGCGAAATAATTATGATGGTAAGTAAGAAAATAGGTACAGATACGATTAAAAATGTTCAGTTTAATAGCGAAGGCATCTTTCACCTTCATTCTGACTCAGAAACTGTGTAGAATAATAGTTGTACAGACAAATGTTTTAGTGTGTTAATCTGAAATTTCCTAAGATTTAAATTGTCTTAATACAAATTTTGCGCTTCTGCACTGTAATAGTATGCATTAAGCGCTCAAGAACGGTTTGATGTATTTCAATTAGAGTAATTATTCTAATGATCTTCATTATTCTGAAACTTCTCTGAATAATAATTCTCATTTGCAATTCTTCATTGAAGTTCGAGGTACACCGGCCCATGTAATAGAACGCCTTACCTATGTTGAAAGTAAGTACGTTAAAAATGCATAATATTTGAATTAATCATTAGACTTGAGAATTTTCCTGACAATAGCTTACGAATTACGACAGTCTTACAATTCTCTTTTCTGTGATGATCTTGCTTGATGACTCCAAAATTGATATGATACCATTAAAAACAGGTTGGAGAATGACTGGCACGGAAACACTGACAAAGATAGATTATCGAAGTATGCTGACTGCCTTAACTGATATGCCTTCGGACATCTTCAATGTAACTATTTCAATGTATGTTACTCCCTTGTATTCAGTTATCTTACTTGCTTCATGACAGTTCATTCAAGGTGTTCTCGTTTCCCCATAGATAAAACATTAGAAATAATTACGAATCTGGCAGGAGCAGAAGGGAGACTGCAAACCATTAAAGGTAAATCAAGCTAAAAGCTATATCACCAATAATATTTTTCCGTTGACGAAAATATGCCCTGAATTATACTTACAAAGTGATAAGTATGACGACATCAAAACATCACGTTGTCTAGTATGTAACAGATAATGACACACTCGAATTATACGTCCTCACAAGTTGTAAATATTCGACCTTTTCTTTCACTCTTCTTTATTAGAAAGGATTTTCAGTCAAAATCCAACTTCACGAGGTGTAATAGAAAAACGTAAGCAAACCGAATGTATTGGAATTACGAACGATCTATTTTAGATTTGGATTGCCTTGAAACTGCATACACATACAGCTGGGGAGGGGTAGTATTCAACAGTGCGTTCTAGTATTTTTTTTCAATTAAAATGAAATTTTACTCGTGAAATTCATCCACTACATTAGGCTTTCATTTGATAAATCAGAAGTCAGCATTCTAATACACTCACAATTGGTGATATGCTTTCTCATTGACCATTGCAATAATCAACGACTGCCTCACTGCAGAGTGATAAATGTTTGCAAGTTTGTTATTTACAAATTGACCTGGTCTACTCAATATGCTCACCTCTGTTTATCTGTCAAGCTCTTGCACAACGTCTCCCCCATTGTAAGTTGAATATTTCGAATCGTTTCTGTACCTGTTCACTTACTTACCATCATAATTATTTCGCATCAATATTCTGGCTAAGAAAATTGACCTTGTGTATATTCTCGAGGTAACATGTCAACTAGTATTTCATTCATGCCTTTCTATTTGCTAATTTCAAATAAATAGGGGAATTTCCTCCTGCACAGAACATGAGGAACTGATTGACGACAGATGTTCAACTACCTATTTCTCATTTCGGATACTCATTTACAATATGTAAATCAGTAGACATAATTTTTCGTCTGAATTGTGATTGTGTTTGCGTTAAACATGCATAAATGTGAATAAGCTTTATACTAAAAACGATAGACATGCATTAATGTGTGTGAAACTCATTTATTTGCAGACCGTGATGTGAATCTAGCTGATGCAGTGAATTGTGCCAAGGGAGAATCCTCAGCATATCAGAGTAAGTAGCATAGTATTGCACCTATCCGTCTGAATTGTTTTGTCTGTGTGGAGTACGGATTTTCGAGTTTCCAGTTTCCACATATATGATGTCAATTAGCTTTAATAATCAAAATGTTTTGCTACACTTACTCACCCATAAACAGAAAAGATGGAGGAGTTTCCTTTGGAAAACTGTCTCGAAAATCTACCTTCAGAGAGTCCTCAAGGTATTTATTTGCCTTTCATTTTCATTCATTTTGAAATGAATAACGTTTTCACATACATTTACGATGATGGTATATTTTCATCTATCACAATACCTTCATCATGATTTGATTTCATGAACGTCCACTTCTTATACGGTATTCTGTGATGAGCATTTTCAAAGAGTTAAAAATTTATGTCTGAAGGAGGACGAACAAGTCCAGTGTTTAGAATGTTGTCAGTCGTCTACAAATGGAATTGTGCAGATGGTGTGATTGCGAATAGAAGCACACACTAGAAGACAATTTGTTAACTGTGAAATTGAATGAGTACTGACATAGTGACTTGATGACAGCAGTTTGGACAACGTGAGAAGACATCATGCAAGTAGATGAGTTTGTGGAGTAGTCAACTGCTTGAATCTCTGTGCCGATCAGTTTGTTTTGCGTCATGTAATGCCGCGTAGTTTGAGTTTGAATGTCAATGAATCACCTTGGGAAATGCATTCTGTTAGGTATCCATTTATGAATTATTTCAGATCTGGGTGAACTGAATTTAGAAATGCAAGCAGTATTCGAACAAAAAGCTCTGTATATGATTAACACTTGTGAGTTTATTTTCTCTGCATTTATAAACTGCACAATCGGAAATATGTATGAGGAAACACTGTGATGGCAGTGGTAGGAATGAGAGAGTAGTCGGTGCTTCTCTACTGTTAGTTAGCAGACAAACTCAGTTATATGCAACAATTATTTTAATTAGACCATTCAAATAATTCCCAAAATGTTTCATCGTTTCTAGTTCTTCAGAATCTGTACACAACACATATCACCAGAGGTGAGATTAATTTCCCATTATCTTTCCACATTTTATCTTACGAAGATCACCTAGTGGAGTTGCGAATCGAGTTTCAAGTGCACGAATTGTGAGAGTGTGGAGGATGATGAGTGAGGAAAGTACTACACAGGATTAGTATACTCACAAAAACAGTTAGACAATATATTCCACCGTCGACTAGACTCCTATCACTCGACTCGAATATTGATTTATGAATATGTGGTTGAAATTACAGCCTCGAATACGCCCATTTAGTCAAATGGTGAAAGCATCATGAGTGGCGTTGTCAGTTACCGTGTGTAAATCCACCAATGAATAATATCATGAGAGTTCTAATAAGATGGTGTCATGAATGTATGAGAATATACGTGCACATTCAATAATGTCAGCGAGGATATGCAATCTAGGGAAATTCACACGAACGATAGTGAATTATAGAAATGTAGCAACTTGTATGCTCCGACAAACAATGAAGATTGAAATTATCACTCACTGAAAATATTCAGAATTCGCATACTCCATGAGTAAGCATACAATTCGCCACCAAGTATTCTTCTCTCCAGTATACATGTTGCTCTACTGTTTAACCACTAACATTTCATCCAACTAAACCGATGATTTGAATTTAATCTCATGCAGGATAGTGAAGAGGCGCATCTAGACAAACGTCAACGTCGACATACTACTGATGAATACAAGTGGACTGTAGAAGCTTTCGTAAACATTTCTTTTTTAATTAAATTAAACAAATCATTAATC